GTATTTGAGCTTTCTGTTGGGGAAACAAATTGAGAAAATAGAAATGTCCGGTATTTTCTCAATAAGACGTAACGTAGATTGTGATGTCATGTCCAGTGTGTCCGGTATTTTTGTTGAAACCATCTGGCGACCCTAGACTCCCCTCCTCTATTAATACCACAGGAAAGTGTGGCCTTTTCACTTACCAAATTCGTGGAGAGCCCCCCCATCCAAAATGATTGCCCACCCCCTGGCCTAGCACCTCAGCCGCCACACTGCCACTGTCCATAAACCAGGCTCGCCACGGATCACGCAGGGACGTGCAAATAATAGAGGGGGCGGCCTTTGTAGTATTTTGGGGGGGGTCACCTCGGGAAGTTTTCTCCGCCGGCAGTAGGGCTACAAACCCACTTTGGAGAAGGCAGGCTGGAGTGCCCCTGCTCCCCTGGACTCCAGAGGCTGGAGGGGTCTTAAGGAAAACAACTGTCTGGTGGGGAGGGGAGCTGGCAGTTCACACCCTGCAGCCCTGCCCTGCAGGGATGTTAACACCAGCGCTGGGTGGGACCACAGGCAATCAGCAGCCAGAGGGTGTCTTGATTCCCCCTCCCCCTTCTAGCTAACCATGCAGGCTCTTTTGCAGGGGAGTCTTGCTGCTGTCGGGCTGGAAGGAAGGAAACTGAACTTTTCTGTTTCCCCTCCCCTTTTCTCCTCTGCTCTGGGTAGCTGCACCCACAGCCCGGGCGCATGGCTGCATCCCCAGCTGGCCGGGCGTGTGCTGCGCGTGGCTCCCTAGGGCGTGCGGCTCACTCTGCAGGGGGAGGCGAGGGCACCCCGGCTCAGCGCCTCGTTGTGCTTTTGCTGCCTTGAAGTCGGTGTCCTGACCCCTCCCCACGCTTGCTCAGCTGATTGGTGCCTGGCCCGTTTTAAAGCGAGACCGCCAAAAAAAAAAAAAGCCACAGCCACTGGAGTTGGGGTGAGTGAACCCACCCCGCCTTTCTTGACTGTTCCCCCAAAATGCCAATGAATGGGGGAGCAAAACAAACGGGGAGACAAAAGTCAGGGCGGTGTGAGTCACCTTGGGATGGGGGGGGGCATTGCAAACCCCAGGGAGTCATTGCAGAAAAATTCAGGAAGAGGTGGGGGAAGGTTTGCAACGCTGTGCCAGCATATATCCTGCAAGGGCTGTGTGGGGGGAGGAGGGGCAGACAGACCCATGAAAAGTCGGGGGGAGGGTAAGTTTCCCCTTTGCCTTACAGCCACTGATGCCCCACTTGCAAATGCGAGTGAAAAAGTTGGTTAGCAAAGCGTTCGGTGGCTCTCCACTGGCTTTTGTTAGCAAAACGTGCCTTTGGCTCTGGTCTTGCTGGTGAACTGGTCCATTCCTGTTGGTGCCTCCTTCAAGGCAGGTTCCCAAATGCTCCCTCCCTATCCCCCTCCATACCCTACCTGTGTAGCTGCAACCTTCCCCTCCCCGCCACTCACTCCTAGCACTTCTGGAGGAAAATGATTCATTCCCACTGTTCCAGCCCTCCAAGCTGCAAGCCTGCCAGTACACCAAGGACGTGGCTCCTTTGCATTGTAACAGTACGACTTGCAAGGCTCAGATCTGCCCCCAGACTGAGGAAATGCTGCAAGAGCTTTGTAAGCAGTTTCTTGTAGAACCACCCTTGGAAAAAGTGTGGCGCGGACCAGGCGGTGTCCAGGCACACAAAACTGCAGAGGGAACAGTGCGCCCTTGCTCGCCACATTGTGAACTCCCCACCCCCGTGTTGTGGTGGTTGGTTTTAAAACAAAACTGTTCTCCCGCTTTTTGAGCAGTGTCGTGGGGGTGCCAGTTTCTGGGCCTGCAGTCTGGATGTCTGTGCTGTGACCCCACCTCTACTGATGGGGAAAGAATCAAATATTGCAAATACAAGCATAACACCCAGACCAGGAGTCTCCTTAACGGGAGGGAGGGGGGGCCTGCTTCTCCTTGCAGTTTGTCGGGCTGGGGGCATGTTAGTGAGGCTCCATATTTTCAGTCCTGCAGCCAGCTCATATAGAGGATATAGAGCATAGAGCAGGGGTGGACAAAAGGGCATCCGCGGGCTGAATCTGGCCGGCCGAGCAAGTGGATCCGACCCGCAGGGGCCCAGCTTCTCTCCCACTCCCTGGCCAATTAAGGCCTAGGGGCGGGGGAGTGCCTGAAGACTTCTCCGCTCTGATTGGCCTGGGGGTGGGGGAGCGTGCCAAGCCTCTTCCAGGGCATGGGTGCCTAGTGGGAAAGGGGGGCAAAGGGGCTTCCCCGCCCCCAGACCGGTCATGGTCTGGGGGTGGGGTAGCCCTGTCCCTTCCTATTTAGGGCCTGCCTCTTCCGGGGTGGCTCCCAGGCAAAAATTATTGCCCACCCCTGGCTTAGGGGGCCTCCAGAAGGTAGCTAGGGGCGTGTGCAGGCAGGATAGCTCAGGGCATAGCTGTTGTTGTTGTTGTTGTTGTTGTTCGTCCATCGTATTCGAAGAGGACCTTGACATCTAACGGGTTGTGGACTGTCCACGGTGTGTCCGCAAATGGCTGATAAGGCCGATACGGGCACAGAATGTTCTGCCACATGTCGGGCAGACATGTGTGGGCACCACTGTTGCAGCTTTTGCAACTCTGGCTTTACGGAGTGCTCGCTTCTCTTGTGCTATGGTTGTCCTTCTGGCTTCAGATGTTTGACAGCCTTGGTAGAGCAGCGTGTGCCATGTCGATCGGTCTTGTGCCAGGGTCTCCCAGGAGGTGGTGTCAATATCCAGGGACCTGAGAGAGGCTTTAAGCGTATCTTTGTACCGCTTCTTTTGACCCCCGTGCGATCGCTTCCCTTGAAACAGCTCACCATAGAAGAGCTGTTTAGGGACGCGATGATCTGGCATCCTTGCAACATGGCCTGCCCAGCGTGTCTGAGCTTTCATCAGCAGGGTGTAAACTGACGGCAGACCTGCTCTAGAAAGGACTTCTGTGTCTGGCACCTTATCCTGCCACCGGATCCTCAGAAGTCTGCGGAGGCAAATCGTGTGGAAGTGGTTCAGTTGCCTAGCGTGCCTCCTGTATACAGTCCAAGTCTCACTGGCGTACATCAGGGTAGTTAACACTACTGCTCGATAGACTTTAAGCTTTGTAGCAAGACTTATTCCACGGCGGTCCCACACTTTGGTCAACAGTCTGCCGAACGCAGAGCTTGCCTTGGCGACTCTGCAGTTGACCTCGATGTCAATTGTCACTGAGCGGGAGAGGGTGCTGCCAAGATATGTAAATTGGTCCACTGCTTGCAGCTTTTGTCCCTTCACTGTGATGGTGGGCACTTGATGCTGAGCTTTTGGAGCTGGCTGGTGCATCACTTCGGTTTTCTTTGTGTTGATGAGAAGGCCGAAGTTGTCGCATGCTGCTGCAAATTTGTCCGGTGGAGCTCGGGGTGGGGGGGTAGCTAGGGGCTGGGTGCAAGGTGGGGTGGAGCTCAGGGTGGAGGGGTAGCTACGGGCTGGGTACAAGGTGGGGTGGAGCTCAGGGTGTGTGGGGAGGGGTAGCTAAGGGCTGAGTGCAAGGCGGGGTGGAGCTCAGGGTTTGGGAACGGTAGCTAGGGGCTGGGTGCAAGGCGGGGTGGAGCTCAGGGCGTGGGGAGGGGGCAGGAGGGAAGCGTGGGATGCAGGATGCTTGGGGTGCAAGGAGAGGTGGAGTGGGAAGGGGCGCCGCTGTTTCTGCAGGGAGCGGCTGAGTGCAAGGCGGGGTGGAGCTCAGGGTTTGGGAACGGTAGCTAGGGGCTGGGTGCAAGGCGGGGTGGAGCTCAGGGCGTGGGGAGGGGGCAGGAGGGAAGCGTGGGATGCAGGATGCTTGGGGTGCAAGGAGAGGTGGAGTGGGAAGGGGCGCCGCTGTTTCTGCAGGGAGCAGCCATGCCCTCAGTCCCTAGTTGGCAG